CTCGTCCAGCGCCTGACGTGAAACGATTTTTATGGTTTGATCAAACAAGAAATTCCTCTCAAGAGTCTTGATCCACTTTCCCGACAGAGCAAAGACCACAATGAGGCTATGAGCTGCGAGGACGCTACGGGTAAGATGCCAGCTTGAGAGGCGCTTGACTCTCTCGGTCGAGCTTAGGGAAAGAGGACGTGTGACTAGCCTCCAACTTTGAAGATTCATCGAGAAGTTTTTCGTTCTCAACTTCAGGGGTAAAAGGGGAAAAGAATGATCGTCCCTCTATTTCCACACCCTCTTGGCGCACAGTCAATTTTCCTTCCGTCTCATTCGTTTTGAAGTCACACTGTCCTGTACTTGTGACCAAAGTACATTCCTCTACCAGACGCCCGGTCCACAGGAGACGAGAGAGACGAGAAAATGTGGTAAACCAGATTATAACGCTAGGCAGGCATCCCCCCTTCCCCTCTTCCCTTTTCCAGGATCGACGGCGTCCGATCCGCGATCCAATCAGAAGCGTGTTCCTGAATTTGTGCCCCGTTTTCCATGCAAGCAGGTTGGGGTCGGAAGGGACAGACCAGTCCGATGCATTTCGATGTTCACAGTCACAGTTCAGGGGCCAATCTCTTTTTTTTTTTTTTTTTTTTTTTTTTTTTTTTTTTCCGGAGCGGATCCGTTTGAATTGTGCACTATGACAAAGTACTGCATCTCGAGAGCCACTGAAATGTGTTTTCCACCCTCCTTTCAAAAAGTTCGCATGCACCAGGCGAAACCAACCAAGAGATACCTGAGGAATGCAGAGGATCTGGATCTTCGAAACCTGTGTCTGTTCGAACAGCACAGATCGGATCCGGCGATGACGTTGTGGGATGATTGTGTTAGTGGGTTGGGGCGGTGCATTCACCGATCAGGGACAGACCTCAGCTTCCATGGACAGCCAAGCCCAGTGCTTCCCATCAGTGGTCTGTGAAGTATGTACACTAATTTGTAGGAGGTTGAGGACGAAGCCAGTCACGAGAGAGAGACTGCAAGGGACAAGGGAGAAGAAAAGAAGGAGAAAAATAGCCAAGAACCCGATGTCCATGAGCCGCCCATTTAAGATTGGTCTGTTTGCATTTCCATCAACTACTTTGTAAGAAAAAAAGAAAGAAAATCTCGCTGTAACGACGGGCAGCCAGCCCTTGCTTGTCGCTCCAGTTCCCTTCTCTTGGGTCCGGGGAACCGACGCTACACCACTCCAAAGACCGAGATGCACTGGTAATAATGGGCCTGTTTTGTTGGATTTGACCAGTCAAGCCCTCGCTCAACAATAGGATTAAGACAGCCTGCAGGGTCTTTCTTACTGGAGCGTACGAAGTAGTACAAATCCTTCTGCACCATGAGGCAACCTTGAAATGATAATCGAATCAAATCAATCTAGTACGACTTCATAGTACAAGCCGGTGCATGAGCTTCTGCCTGCAGCATACTATGGAGTCTTGGGGCATCCATCAAATGTACGCCGTACTCCTTTGCAGTCTAGACCACTGCAAGCTCTGTCCATTATGACGGAACACTTGGAGGCTGATTCCTTCTTGGCGGTTGCAGAGATGAGGGCTTTCATCCTACGAGGGATTATAGAGCTGAACTGATCCATCTGCATGGCGTGAGGGAACAAGGGAAGCGGGAGGGGAGTGAGGCCATGGGTTTGCGAAATTTGCTGTTTCACCATGGCGACGACCCCATCCCCGGCAGCAAGAAAAGCAACGATTATTTGATTAATGCCTCTCCATACATTTGAGTACATGCACTCTAGAATAGAATATAATTTCGATTTCGACTCTCTGAGTGGAGGGCTTCACCACCAAGATCTTGCTGTGGGGAGTGCGGCTGATTGACGTCGTCTTGGTCCCTGAACTTGTGGGCTTAGATGATTCCGCAAACCTCGCTGGAGATGATGTCGAAGGCCCCGAGATTTGATCACGCTGTGCTTGCAGCAAACACTGGCGATAATAATCCCAATAATCCCAACCGCACTTCTCCCACCCGAAAAAAATACTAGTGGAAATCTGCGAAATCTCGCTTATCGTTTGGGCTCGGCTTTTGGAGCCTTGGTGTCCTCAACAAGGGCACCAAGTCGTATACGAAGTAATATTCCAGAACATTTGGGCCTCCCAGTAGGACGGTAAAACTCTACACTATACTACATTACGATGGGATCGGCAACGTCACAATCTTAAAAACTGAGAGAAGGGTTTGTCTTTCCTTTTTTTTTTTTTTTCCTTTATTTTTTAGGCTCGGGTTCGCCCGAATGCGGCCTTAATCAAAAATCCTGCCAAGGGGGAGAAGAAGATGTGGCAGGGGTTCGGAACGGGCTGGATATTGGATCTTGTGGAGAAAGGAATATGAGGTGAATTATGGCCCACCTCTCATCGAAAGCTTTGCACCATTTCCCACATATTCCGCGCAGATGTCGACGCAGATGGGCGGGTGCAATTTACTTGTACCTGCTGCCGCCCGCACTTTTAAAGTTATTACAAGTGGATGGAAATGAGGGCGTCTTCCTCAACCCAGCACGAGGCATATGCACGTCTTCCTGCCAGACCTCCACAGAAGTAAGAAGTAATAGTGGACAGTATATTATTACGCCAGGATGGACTCCCACAAATAGACGCATTGGACGGACAAAGACACAGCACGGTGCATCACCGGCAGCGTTTCCTTTAGCATGCTTCGTGAGAGAGTGGCATGCCATGGCCAGTGGGGTGTGCTATTTTCTTCGTTGGCTATTACACTACCTTCGCCGAGGCCCCGTTTGCTGTTTGCTGGGACGCGATTTCTTTCGGGTGCCAGACCAGTGCGACGATGCGACGATGCGATGGCACGCATTGATATGTTGATGTTGAAGCCCAAAAGAGAAAGGGGCCCGTGTTTTTCGTTGGAGTACGTATGGGAGTACCTTTGTCAATGTATCAAATGGATCGATGTCTTCTTGGTACTCTGGGCCTGCGTGCTTTGAGTGTGGCTTGAAGTCGTTCCGTCTGTGAGAGCCATTGATCAATCAACCGACATCGACGACAACACTTGAAGCAGCAAGAGCAGGATTCACTGGGCCGGGGCATTCTCTCCCTGCCCGAGAACATATCTGCATTTATTCCCCAAAAGGTAGCAGGCATTTGCACCAACCAGACTTTACCTCGTCGGTGACATGTCCACTCGTCTATCTCATGGTCACATTCTTCCAACCTCACGATGCCTTCTGCAGCCTTGTGTCCCATTCCTCTTGACAGGTGGGCAACTTGGGCCACCGGTTCCGGGCCTCTGGAATGGGGACCTCGCCCACTCTAAAATATCAGGTTGGCCCAGTCTCGATGGATCTATTTGTGGTCTAAAAAACTTTCCAGCGTTTCACCACCTCAAGGGAGTGGAGTGTATTAGGTCGCCCCGCTAGGGACTCGGCACAAAAATCGTACACACCCAAACTTGGGCTTCTGCCTCGAAGCTAGTGATTGCGGACTCTGTGGAGGAAATGACCTAATTTGAATAGCCTCCTCCGATTTGGTCTTGTCTCCGTTTCTCCACGCGTGTTGCTTTGGGGTAAAACTTGCCGATGGACTTTGTTTCCTTCGGATGTGATTCGAGATGCGTGTAAACAACATAAAGACCCACACGAAAAAGATTGTTGTTTCGTTTCCCCCACCTCTCTGTTTGCAAAATCCGAGAGAATTATGAAGTAAACCTCCAAAACACCCCTCCAACCCTCCCGAAGCTTATCTCTCAGATCGAACGAGGATGCAAGAGGTCCTTTGTGGCGTTCTTGGATGGTTCAATGTTTGGGAAGGGACAGACAACAACACGCAGTCCTGCGCACGGATTCCTGAACCAAAAAACGCGTCCAACACATTCGCGTCTTGGAGGGCGGGCAATAATATTAAACAGGACGTAACGTTTTCTTCGATGACACTGACGTCGTCAGTTCCTGCGAGATCCGGTTGCTTTCTCATTTTACTTGCACGGACGGCAGAGATGCCGGTGAGGGAGGGATCTTTGTGATCCTGGCGGCGTTGAGGATGAAACTGCGTACAGAGTGGAGGACATAACATGCTTGGTCCTACATGTTCCATGAACAGACAGAAGCAAATCCTGTCTTGATACCATATTCCTTTCCACAGGTATATATCTAGCTCTATTGTTTGGCAATATTCTCCATGCTCCCTCGAGGAGCATGCGTAACCCGCAGGCTTGAGTTACGGTATTAGACTGTCGACTAGAGAGTTTCAAAGTGAATCGATGTGCATAAATCAGTAACGACTGTGGGCTCTCTAGCTCTCTGAACGTTAGACATCCAATCCCCAACGCCGCTCCCAATCTTGAACATCTTGCTTCAATATCCTTAGAGAAATCCTTTCCGGCCATTCCAAACACCCCCGTATCCCTCTCCCCTCTTTAGGTCTCAACCGTGGGCCGTGACAAGGAGCACCTCGATGTTCGACGAAGCTGCCCGCCAGAGGGGAAGAAGCCCAACGCACCTTCCCTCAAAATCGATGAGAGCTCCCGTGATAACTTAATATACGATGACAGGGCAAGAACTTCCAACCGAGCAGCTCAAGCAGCAATACTGCGACTAATGGCCAAGTGGTCATTGGAGCGCTCAGAAGGTTAGAAAACTGAAGTTTTCGTAGCTCGTGGCAAGCAATCAGGAATTCGAACCTGAGAGCGCGCCACGAGCGAGCTTTTTGCCGCTTCTTTTTTTTTTTCCCCAATCTTTTCTTCCCGTTTTCCATTTCAGGTCAAGGGCGACTCCTGATTTCACTTTAACACTGAAAATAACACGCCAATGAGCGTTGCTAGTTACAGAACAGTTAGGAAATATGATCTTTTTCTCAAAATAGTAGGAAAGACTTACTGCTCGAGTCCTGTCGCTGCCATCAACAGCGTAAAACTGACGCTTCCCAATGCCGTTGCAGTTCCAGTCCGGGTTATCCCGAGCTCCAGGCTTGTCACAGTAGGCGGGCGCCTTGAAATCATTATTCGCCGAATTCCACTGGAGGTCCGTAGGTAAAGTACATGGCCTGCTCGTCGCCCTGATTGCCTGTATCGAACTTTCCAACGGCCGAGAAATCCTTCTTCAAAGCGCCACCGGTGACAACTAACGGACTGGCCTGATTGGCCGCCGTGATGTCGGGCCTGGACGCTTCGTCGATCCGTAGGCCATCGGGCTGTCGCATGTCTAATGTGGCAAAGTACTCTTCACCGGAGGGCTCGCAGCGGCGGTATTGCTGCAGGTAGAAGAAGCATTGGCTGATTTCGTCACCGGCTGCGTCGCCGCCAGCAGGGCCCCCCTGGCTGCCCTGCAGGTCGTTGATGTACGCGTCCAAAACCAGATCTCGGATCTTTTCGTGGAGGGCGTTCTGCGGATGGAAGACCTTCACCCTGTTGCCAATGCCGCGCCAGAGGGGATCTTGGATGCCCTCGGTGTTGGGATCGCCAACCTCGATGGCGTCGAAAAGGGCATTCTGGAAATCGTTATACGTCTTGAACTTGGCATTGATATCGGCGGCAGCGGTGACCTTGTCAAGAGCCTTCTGGAGAGGTCCATCGACGGTGTCATCTTTAGCTTCGTTGTAAGGGTAATGGAAGAGCCAGAGGTTGGGATTGTGCTGGTCTGGCTCATTGACTCCGGGCTCACAGTACCTATGGCCCTCCATCTCGCCGTCGGTGGGGATCCATTTGACGCCCTGGTCTTTATTCCTCGACACCGCGTCCTCGATGGCCTTGTTTAGCTGGACGCTCATGTCGTTGAATTCTTTTCGAAGGTCTTGCGTCAGTTTCGTATGCTCTTTTCCGTCATCCTTGGGATTGGCCGTCCGGGCGAAAGTGACATCGTCGCATTCGGTTGTCTCGACGCTGAAGAATTGTGGGAAACCCGTGACGTAGAGCTTGAAGCCGTCACCGGCCGGGCCCTTTGCGACCCTTCTCGACTACCTTCTTGATGGTCTTGTCGATATTGTCTGCAAGGTTCGGGCTGATGAGAAGGTCCCAAGTGACATCTCTTTGCTCCTTGCAAGTCCTCTGCGGTGGACCAGCACCGAATGGGAGGTGCGTCTCCAAAATGCAGTTGAATATGATACCGGGGAAGTCAATGTCGTTGCCTCCAACGCTCGGTGAAGCCATGCTTGGGTTTCCGAACCTGGGGCGGTCGCCTTGACGGAGTCTACTTAGCGAAAATGGCTCTTACAATACGGGTAATGTGGACAGGCCCATGTATTACTCCCCATACTGGCTACTAGGGACGCCCGAGGTATCCTTGTCAAAGAATTGGAAGGCCTCGACGTCTGCTGTGCTGGATCCAGAACATACGACGTTGTCGAAGTCGTGTCCCGTGGGAAGCCTTGCATCACCGTCCATCAGAACGGGGTAGGCGTGGTTATAGCGAAGGCAACGGTAGGAGTTGGAGATATAATCTCCGGCTCCGACACCTGAGGAGTGGGAGTCTCCGAGGGCCGTCCACTCCAAAGTGTCTCGACCGAGGAGCTGTTTGATCGTTTCGATCTTGTTTGAGAGTGGAGAGGCAAGTGCACCAGACAGAGCTGTCAAGGCCGTGAGGGCCTTGATCTTGGAGAGGACAATCATGTCGTAGGGAGTTGATGGGATGCTTTTCTGTTGCAGGATAGAGTGCTTGAAATAGGCAGGTCAAGAGACAAGAGACGTTTGGTGATGTCCAAGAGCTCTTCTTCTTCCAACAACACAACGTCCGTTCGTGCCCTTATAAAGTGTGCCATTCTCTCTCGTTGTGCCCTCATCTCAAAGCATGCGAAACGGAAATTAACACACTTTGACGATTCGAGAGTGTTCGAGGAGAGGCGCGGCGGCCCCCAAAGTTTGCACTTCCCCATCCATCCTCATGCTCTGCGACAACATCGCCAACAACGGATTTAAATAAATCTTACGTGGACCGGCTATGACAGCCGTGGTGGGATCGATGGAAACTGCACACAAGCTCCATCTACACTCGAGCTGGGGGTAGAGGTTAGCCTTGTCGATTAGCAAAATATTTAGAGCAGAACGCACGAAATCGCCCTGCGACTGGCCCCCGAGACGTGAGTTCCCCGGCCCCCGAAGGATGAAGCCTACCTACCCCCGAGGGATGAACCCCTTCGGCCCCCAATCAGTGATCCTCAGCCTCCTCATGGCGAATCCCTCCGCCCCCGAACCCCCCGAAGCCTGAATAGCCCCGAAGCCGGCATACTGGAGGGAATCTTGCCGTCTAAGACTCTGTTGTAAGGTTCTGGGGCTGAGATCGGGTTTGGATCAATAGTATTAGAATCCTGTAGGATCCAGGCACCGTTGTAAGGCCCTGCAAACCATGGATTATTTCATCTGATGTTCGTAGGAAAACACGTATGGGGAAGGATTGTAAAAAGAAAAGAAAACGGTTGTGACAGTCGCGCGGTTCATCTTTTCTTCTTCCTTCTTCCCTCCTTTCTCAATTCTACGTCTACCTGCTCCTACTCGAATGTCCCTTCCACTCCTACAAGTACAGGAAATCCAGAAAAGCCAATCTAGTGTACGAAGTACAAATAGAAATGCCTTTACAAGCCGTAGAACCGTTGAGGGATGGCCAATTGTGAGTGCCTCGGATCTGCAAATCCCCTGCTATGTTCATCTATTTTGGGTTCATGGGCAGCTTAGAACCCCAAGGAATTATACTTGATCATTGACGAATGTTACCGAACTTAAAAATATCAATCGAAGTGGTGGTAAGCTCGAAGGAAGCGGCGCATGTCAGGGTGTTTCGTGTATGTTACACAACATCCATCACCTCTTTTAAGTTATTATTGCCAGCAGCTCAGCCATCGCCCATCCACCATCACCAGACATCACATCTTCATCTCACCATCCATCATACACACAGAATTCTATCCTGTTCAAAACTTCTCTGACAGTTCCGGGAATTATACGGATAGATTAACCACTCACTGATTTTTTCCCAATAATCTCATCGATGCAAATTCTACTCCGAGACTTGGCTGCCAGGGCCATATCTTTGTTCCCATGGGCTCAACAACTGAGGCTGGGTGGTGGCGACGGACTCGCACTCTCACCAGACAGCACCTCGCCTTCGCTAAAGTCTGATGAACTGCCTGGTGGAAGCCCTCTCAGCCTCTGCGAGGTCTCACGCCCAACAGACCTCTTCCAAATCACGTCTGTCGAACTCACCAAGCAACCACTATATTTGTACGTCAAGAATTAGAGTCACCGAGACATCTTCCTACTAATTATTGGCAGCGACGACGACTTTCTTTTTAACCTCTATGGTACCTTCCAAGATTCCTTCCCCCGAAATGCGACCATCGACGTGAGGATAGATTGTGGCTCCCACTGCGAAGAGTACGGCAACCCACCGGGTGAAAGGCCGGGCGAGACCTTCACGATCGACTTCTGCGACTTTAGTAGCATTCAGCAGCCTCTAGGCGGGAAGAAGAATGTGACTTGTCCACCTGAAAAGGGTTGGGCCTTGATTACCTCGCCGGCATTTGTGTGGGAAATGTTCCTTGGGCCAGCCGTAAGTTCTGCATGCTTCACTAGATCAGTAGTCCTGGCTAAGGAAATTAAACAGGGCTGGTATAACTTCACTTTCGACGCCAAGACTGCCACGGGTGAGAGAATATACTGTTTGACTGCTGAGGTCTGCTTGAGGTGGGAAGATGAGAAGAAGAATATACCCGATCGGAAAGGTCCTTGGAGTGACTGCAGATGGCCGCGATGAAAAGGAAAGGGAATGAACGAGGCCTTGGCAGGTGTCTAGGAACACTCAAGCTACTCCACCATCTCACCTCTCAAGAGCCCAATACAGAGAGGTGGGACCTACGTACAATAGTGCACCGTACCATTAAATGGTTTACGGATAATTAAAGCTTGGCATATCCGATTCTAAGGATACGCGAGATGAGAGGGTGTGTCTTGCTTTTCCCGAAGGATCGAAGAAGCAAGTTAAGTTGAGCGATCGGTCCCTGAGAGGACTGAGACAGACTGACTCGAGAGTGTGTTGTACCGCTTTGTCTTCTTTCGAACAGTCTTGCCGGGTGGGCTTTCGGTAGTTCTTGGCTTGCATAGTCCTAGTTGCGGCTGCAGGATGTCAGTATGTGGAAGAAGCCAGGGTTGAGGGTTGAGTAGTTCTACTCGGTAGTCGCTTCAACGGGTGGTTATGTATTCAACCCGTAAACTGCGGTCTGACAATCGTCCAAGAGAGGAGGCTAAGGCCATCGTTCCCAAATGTCTCTTTTTAAACTGAAACTAGATATTATTAGAACGTTTGAGTGGCGGGAAGTTGTTGACCGATTGAGTCTGTTCCTAATCTAAGTCGCATGCGAGTCTTCCACAGTAATAAACCGGTCTGAATCAAGCGGCCCAGTAACACGGCAACCTCATCCCGCTCCCGGACACTACTGCAGTTCTCATCTCTGCATTCTAATTTAGACGTTCCCTTGCTGTCTCTCTCCAGAACCGATAAACCAAGGCCCAACCGCCCCTGTGTCTCGTCATGGGACAGGAATATCTTGGGATGGCTTGAGTGGTGCTGCTCATCCTGCGACGAGTGTTGGTCGTCGAACAGGAGGAAGAAAGATCACCAGATTAGATTGTCTAGAGAGAGAACGATCTTCTGGACAGGGGTCGGGAATGCAGCACCGAGTTGGATTGAGGCTGTCATGGTCGATAGCTGTGTTTGATATGGTTGTTCGGTATCACTCGTTGTTCAATATTGACCCATCTTCACCTCCAGCAATAGATTTCTCTACTATTTTGCAAAAGCAAGACGATGGGACGGAAGAAGAAATGAAAGGAGCATTATTCAATAAAAAAGAATTGAATCAAGAACATACACCAAGGGTCGAACCCAGGAGGTACTGAGACGTATCTTAACCCACTCTCCCATGCCACTTGACCATTCTACCCTCTCACCCTCCCATCATTGTACCTCTCTGCCTTCCCGGTACTCGCTCGACCATTCCTAGGCCGTTTTTGAAGATCGAAGTTGGCAAAATAGAGGCAAAAAGATAAGCGAAGGCCCTGATTCCGTAGAGACCAAGTCAAAGCAAGAGGACGGAAGAAAGAAGAGCGCAAGGCTGTAGGGCAGGTGAGGTGAAGCTACTTCGCTGGAGGAAGATGTATCTTATTTTGGATCAAGTAGTCAAGTTTGTGGGAACATGAACATGTAGATGGTATCTTTTGTCCCTTTTTTCCTTTGTATCTTGGGAATGGATTAGTCGATGTCCTCGCCGAGGTGAGAAGGTGAAGTCCGGCGATGTGAACTTGTACTTGATACGCTTGACCGGTGAGGCCTTGGTAGTGGACTATAATGGCAGGGACTCGCCGGAAAGTATTGAACTTATGTAATTTGCTCGAAAGTACAGTCTGTCGTTGGCATCAATGGCATGCAAGTCTGATATGGCTCGGAAGGTGCTCTTTCCATGGTTGAAACAGGTGTGGAGGTGGAGCTAATTAATCCGCCTCGGCAATTTTGGGAAGCGCAATGAACAACCTCGACGTAAGACGAAATCCATTCTCGCCTCGCTACGATTAGAGCGTAAGAACTTTGCCGAACACTATCCGGTGAGAAGGCTGTGTGTGGATTTACACATCGCCGCAAAACGACGACCCATCGGCTGGGCAAGACAACACCTGGGATGGTCACGGCGATGGGGCAAGACGGGCGCTTCGGGGGCTATCCCGCTGGCTCAACTGAGGCTCGCGTCGCCAATGCGGAGGCAGGACAAAGAAGAATCCGGAAACAAGCCGGAGATAATCGATTTAAAGGGCAAAAAAAGGTCGATCAAGCTGGGACTCGAACCCAGAACCTTTGCC